ACCTGAACTTACATATGAGCAGTTGATGGTCTATTCCACATTCTGTCCCTGGGCTTGTTTTAAGCTGATGATTCTGAGCTTTTCCACTGTCTCTTTCCACAGATGTAGTCAGTTAGATTCCTGTATATGCCATCTGGTGAGGTCCATGTGTATAGTGTCTTTTATGTTGTTTAAAAAAGGTATTTGCAGTGAAGAAGTCATTCGTATTGCAAAATTATATCATGTGATCTCCAGAATATTTCTTTCACCAAGGCCATTTTTCAAAAGCCTGATCCTTCCTCTTTGTTTCCAGCCTTTGCATTCCAGTATCCAGTAATTATCAATACATAGTGATTGCATGTTTGATCAGTTTCAAACTGAAGAAGTTGGTAAAATTCTTCAATGTCATCATTACTGACTTTGTAGAGTGTAAATTTGAATAATATTAACTGGTCTTCCTTGTAGGCATGCGGATATTATGCTTTCTCAAGATAGCATTATAGTTCGTGACAGATCTTGAAATGTTCTTTTTGATGTTGAATGTGATGCCATTCCATTTCAATTTGTCTTTTCTGGTATAGTTAACGATAGTCTGGCATAGTCATATTCAAAATGGCTAATACCAGTCCATTTCAGCTCCTAAATCCTAGGATATGAATCTTTATGTATTCCATTTCATTTTTGACAGCTTCTAATTTTCCTAGTTTCATACTTTATACATTCTATGTTCCGAGTATTAATAGATTTTTACAGCTGTTTCTCCTTATTTTGAGTTGTGCCCCACGAACAAATGAAGGTCCTGATAGCTTTACTCCATTGGCATCATCATGGTCAACTCCACTTTGATCGGGTTGTTCTTCCCCAATCATATTTTGAGTTACTTCCAACATGAGGGGCTCATATTACAGCACTATATCTGACACTATTCTGGTGCTCTTCATTATATTTCAACATTCAATGTTCTAGTACTGTCTGACAGAGTTCCACTGCTATTCATAAGGTTTTCAGTTGCTAAACACTCAGAAGTTGTCTACCTCTTCTTCCTAGTCTGTCTAAGTCTGGAAACTTAGCTGAAATCTCTCCACCATGGGTATACCATGTTGGTAAATAAAATACCAGTGGCATAGCTTCCATTATCACAGCAACACACCAGCCACCACAGTACAACAAACTTGACAGATGAGTGGTGGTATTTATTAATTGCTGCTTCCATGAGTATTTATTATGTAAAATGTAGTCTTTGACAACTCAATATTTTCTCCATTTAACATGATGTAATTTATTGGCCCAGTTGTGAGAATTTTCATTTTCTTTATATTGAGATGCAGTCTGTACTAAAGGCTGTAGTCATTGATCTTTATCTGTAAGTATTTCAAGTCAAGTTTACTTTCATCAAGCAAGGTTGTGTCTTCTGTGTACCAATAGTTATTAATGATTCTTCATCCAATCGTCATACCATGATGTTCATATAATCCAGATCCTTGGATTATATGCTCTGGATACAGATGGAGTAAGTGTGGTGAAATGATTCATCCCTGGTACACACCTCTCCTGACTTTAAACTCTCCAGTATCCCATTGTTCTGTTTCTGAGAACTGACTTGTTTGATTTACAGCTTCTTCGTGAGCAAAATGAAGTATTCTGGAATACCTGTATTTTGGAATATTAACCAGAATTTGTTATAATCCACTCAGTCTAATTCCTTTATTTAGTCATTAAGGCACGTATAAACATCTGTCTTTTATTCTCCGCTTTCAGCCATGATATCCCTTGTTCCATGTCTTCTGAATCCTGCTTGAATTTCTGACATCTTCCTGTAGATGTACTGCTGCAATAATTTTTTAATTATCTTCAGAAAAATTTTACTTGCATGTTATATAAATGATATTGTTTGATGTTTTCTGCATTTTACTGGGTCTCCTTTCTTTGGAATGGACAAAAATATGTATCCTTTTCAAGTGTTTGTCCAGGTTATTTGTCTTCCAAATTTCTTGACACAGATGAGTGAACACTTCCAGTGCTGCATCAGTTTGTTGAAACGTTTCAGGTTGTATACTGTTAATTTCTGGAGCCTTCTTTATCACCAGTGCCTTCAGTGCTGCTTGGACTTCTTCCTCCAATACCATCAGTTCCTGAACATATGCTACCCTTTGAGATGGTTGAACATTACCAATTATTTTTGGTTTGGTGTATTTCCATCTTCTTTTGATAATTTCTGCATCATTCAATATTTTGCCCATAGACACCATTGTTGCAATTTTGAGGCTTTAAATTTTTCTTCAGTTCTTTCAATTTGAGAAATGTTCTTCCCCTTTATGTTGTCTAACTTAAGGTGTTTGTACATTTCATTATAATAATTGGATTTTGTCTTCTCGAGCTGCCCTTAGAAATTATCCCTTAAGTTCTTTTGTTACATGATTTATACTAGTTGCTTTAGCTTTTCTGTGTTCAAGAGGAAGTTTTAGAGACTCTTTTGCCATCCACTTTGGTCTTTTTTTTTTTTTTTTTTTTTTTTTTAAATACCTTTTGCTTTCTTCGTATATGATGTTCTTGATGTTATCCCAAAATTCTTTTGGTCTTTAGTCATTAGTATCTAGTGTATGCAATCTTATTCTTGAAATAGTCTCTACATTTTAGTGGGATAAACACAAGTTCATATTTTGGCTCTTGTCAACTTAATTTTCTTCAGCTTCAGCCTGAAGTTTCATATGAGCAATTGATGGTCTGTTCCATAGTTGGCCGCTGGCCTTATTTTGGTTGATGATACCCATCATCTCTTCTTACAGATGTAGTCAGTTTAATTCCTGTCTATTCCATCAGGTGAGGGCCAGGTGAAAAAAAGTATTTGCAGTAAATAAATCAGTTCTCTTGAAAAATTCTATCATGCAATTTTCAACATTGTTTGTGTCACTGGGGCCTATTTTCCAACTACTGATCCTTCTTTTTGTTTTCCAACTTTTTTATTCCAGTCACCAATAATTATCAATACATATTGATTGCATGTGTGATCAGTTTCCAACTGAAAAGGTTAATAGAATTCTTCAATTTTATCATCATTTTCTTTAGTAGTTTGTCTGTAAGTTTGAATAATAATGGTATTCTAGTATTCCTTGTTGCTTGCTGAAAGTGAAGAGGACTTGAAACATTTACTTATGAAGATCAAAGAGCACAGTCTTCGATATGGATTACATCTCAATGTCAAGAAAACAAAAATCCTCACCACTGGACCAATAAACAACATTCTTATCAATGGAGAAAAGATTGAAGTTGTCAAGGACTTCATTCTTCTTGGATCAACTATCAACACTCACGGAAGCAGCAGTCAAGAGATCAGATGACGTATTGTATTCGGCAAATCTGCTGCACAGGAACTTTTTAAAGTATTGAAGAGCAGAGATGTCAGCTTGAGGACTAAGGTGCGCCTGACCCAGGCCATGGTGTTTTCAATATCCTCATATGGATGCGAAAGCTGAACAGTGAATAAGGAAGATCATAGAAGAATTGATGCCTTTGAGTTGTGGTGTTGGAGGAGAATACTGAAAGTGCCATGGACTGCCAAAAGAACCAATAGATCTGTTTTGGAAGAAGTGCAGCCAGAGTGCTCCTTGAAGGCCAGGATGGCTAAGCTTCGTCTCTCATACTTTGGACATATTGTCCGGAGGAAACAGTCACTGGAGAAGGATGTCATGCTGGGTAAGGTGGAGGGTCAGAGAAAAAGAGTAAGACCCCTAACGAGATGGATCAGCCAGGTGGCATCATTGATGGACTCAAGCGTGGCAGCGGTAGTGAGGTTGGCCCAGGATCAGAGACTGTTTTGTTCTGCTGTGCATGGGGTTGCTATGAGTCGGTTCCGACTCGATGGCACCTGACAACAACAACAGTGTTCCTTGTTGGTGTACAGATATTATTCTATCACAGACAGCATTATACTTCAAGATAAATCTTAAAATGTCCTTTTTGACTATGAATGTGATGTCTTTCCTCTTTAGTTTGTTGTTCCTGGCATAGTAAATGATAGTCTGCTTGAAAATGTCCAATACTAGTCAATTTCAGCTCACTATTGCCCAAGATATTAACCTTTATGTGTTCTATTTTATTATTTGCCAACTTCCAATTTTCCTAGTTTCCTACTTCATACTTCCTCTGTTGCAGTCATTAATGGATATTGCATCAGTTTCTTATTATTTTGAGTTGTCACACATGAGCAAATGAAACTATAAAAAGGCACTTTTAGCCATAACATGGGTAAAATAAGTGTATTTGCAGTTACATTAGGATCCCCGATACTAAAATGCATAAGAACTCAGCTGCTAACTGCAAGGCCAGCAATTTGAATCCACATGTGGCTCCGTGGGAGAAGGGAATTGGCGGTATGCTCCCATACAGCATAGATATTCTGCTCTGTCCTTTACTGTTGCAATTATTTTGAAATGAAACAAGTGACAAACAACAACAATTACTTTGATGGAAAGTTTATGATGCTCTGACCACTGCTGTGCTATCAGCCAGCTGCTAATAACATTAGTTTTGTTTTCCTTTTATTTATATTTCATATACAAATATTATTAACTGGATTAACCTCCTGTAACCCTCCCTAGTGTCTGTATGCACATACCTTTACAGCTAGGGACTCAGGTACCTAGTGAAATTCTATAACTCCTTTTTTCTTATAACCAGTAGTACATTCTAGGATAAATTTTGATACTTTATATTTTCCTCTTCCTTTGCTAGCAACATTCTTGTTTTACTGATTTGTTGTCTTTTGGTTTTTAAAATTATAAATAAGCATTTACTATATTTTGAAAATCTGTTTCAGGATTTTCTTTTAGTAGTTAACTATGCAGAGTATGGGTTTTGTTTTTCTTAAATGTTGCTCAATAAAACAGATTTCAAAGCTATTGTTGCTTTCACATTTTGAGAAAGTATGTAATGATAAATTTTATTATAAGCTTTACTGACATATAGTGCATATATATATATATATATATATATATATATACATATATTTCATTTTGATTTAGGATTTACTTTCCCATATGCTTCATATGGATCCACATTTGCGGTACACTACAGAACAAGTATTAAAACACTCATGGATAACCCACAGGGACAAATTGTCAGGTGATCTGCCAAATAGAAACGATGTGTCACATATCATTAAGGTAAAACTATCAAACATACTTTCATGTGTCATGTAGTATAAATCTATTGCATGTCTTTCATTAAGAACACTTTGATAGTTACTTTAAAGTATCTTTGTTTCTTAGAGTGGATTTATAGATTTTTTGGTTTGGGTTTGCTTCTCAATAACAGTCATGGATTTTTAGCTTTTTTCTACTGCCTAAAATGTTAGTGTTATATTTTGTTTGTTTAATTTAGGGTGCATAGTTATTGAAATATCTATTTAGATACTAATGAGATATTCGTTCATCAAAGGAACATCAGTGTTCAGATTGATTTTACTCAGTCATTTTCCAGGGAAAAGGTTTTGTTATAATTAAATAGCTCATGATAAAATGTGGAAGTTTTGTTTGTTTGCTGCAGAGATTTTATTTCAAATTGTAATTTTTTTCTCATTATTTTAGGGAGTGGTAGTTGCTACGTATTCTGCTCTGAGTCACAAGACCTTTCAACCAGTACTAGAACCTGTTGCTGCTTCAAGTTTAGCTCAACGACGGAACATGAAAAAGCGAACATCAACTGGGCTGTAAGATTTTCAGTGATTCTCAGCCAGACTGGATGAAGATAAAATTAAATATGTGACTTTTTGTTTAAATGTTTACCAAAAGCATATTTTTCAGCTACAGTACTTGAATATTCTGTGTAACCCCTGTATTGAGGGAAGTAGGACTGAAAAAAACAACAACACATACACATGTCCACAGTATTCATATGTTATTGTTTTGCAGTAATGTCCAAGTGTTAACATATAATTGGTATATTCAAAAAGGTTCCAACAACTTCTATGCACACTAACTTCTAAAATTATTTTCAAATGAAGATACCGTAATAGCTTTTCTGGTTTCATACAATAATGGTTAGGGTGAGTCATTACCAACAGTCAACATGCATATATAATTGTATAATGCCAAGCAATGTTAGTATTTTTAAACATGAGATCCCGATGGATAGGCTTAAAAAAAAAAAAAAAAAACTAGCAAAATAGTGTTAGAAGCTTGTTATTGTGCACAATTAATAGACTCTATTCACTTAACTCTATTCACTTAACCTGATAGGGTTATGCATTGGGTGGCAAACAGCAAGATCAGCAGTTCCAATCTACTACCACTTTGTGGGAGAAAGATGAGACTTTTTGCTCCCATAAATATTTACATCCTCTGAAACCGTATACAGGTCACTGTGAGTTGGAAGTGACTTGACAGCCTACCAACACCAGGTACTAAACTATGGCTATAATAATAGTTCATTGTCAGAGAAAAACACATTTGTTCTTATATATAAACTCCTGATATGCTTGGTGCCAATATTTTACAGAATAAATCAGAAATAGTGCAAAGAGGCTTCAAAAAGTTCATGGAAAAAATCCATTATCTTTTAATTCCCTTTTCCACAAATTTTTTGAAGTCCCTCATATATGCAGAGAGACCTGTACATTTCATGGAAATGGCCTCATCTAGATATAACATAATAATGCATCTGTAAATTTTACCCCTTATGGAGTTGTATCGAAGGAGGATTTTTTTTTTTTTAACCCAAAGGCTTCATATTGATGCTGCCATCTACCAAATAAGTTATGATGAAGCCTTTGTAAATAAAGTACATCGTGTTAATACTACATTGGTATAATGTAAGCTTTCAAGTTAACCAGTGGGATTTAAACCACCTTTTCCCTTTATAATGAACCATATTGTTTTTCTGATTTCCACTTATTGTGAATTACAGTGTATTATGTTATTCTGCCATGAATCTTTTGCTAATATAGTTGAAATTTTACTGTAGTGTATTTGTGTGCTTAACACACATGATATAGTATAATACATTTCAGTAAATTTAGATAATGCTACATAATCTGCATAATCAAAGTAAACTAGCACTTATAAGAAAGTATACTAAAATTTTAAATCGAAAGTATTATTAATGCTCTGCATAAAACGAGCATAAAAATCATACAAAGGATCTGGTAAAATTGGTCTTATCCTTGAATTTATGATTCAGAAGCACTCTGTAGTATGCATTATTTTCTTTAAAAATCTTTTCATCTATTGATGGAAATACCATTATTACAGTTGGCAGAAAGAACTCATGTATATAAACTGGAGGATACCACAGTTTTGATAAGTGAATATAAGTAAACTACTTGTATGTTATTAAGTGTCCTGTTTGCTGTATGTTTTATTTTGCTTAGTTCAGAGAGTTTATTACTGAGTGCTGAAGTATTTGTTTTTGGGTTGGGAGACATGTAACCTTGATATTTAATAAAATAAGATATACATAATGTCTTTATAATGTAAGTGATATATACCCCATACACACAGATCTATTTTTTGGGTGTAATATGTAAATCTATGTATTCTTATTTTGAGGTGCTTGAAAGACATTAAAGAACTAATCTAAAGCTACTTGGAAAACATTACTTAAAAAAAGTTCCATTGATTTACTATCTTGTGAGTTTTTATGTCCTCATTTGGCTTTTTCTTTCCTCATTTTGCTCTATTTACTGTAAGTACTTGCATTTAACAACTGTATCCATATACTCTGGCTTTTTTTTTTTTTTCTATCATTAGCTTGTTTGTGCTGCTATGCCTTATTCTAATCAGAATTGGTAAAAACAAACTCAGAAATATTTTGATGTTGAAAGTTGCCAAACAGATGCTATTTACATATATGCTTTTCTAGTAGTAAAATTAAGGTAAATGAAGTTAGGAAATTAAATGAAAATGACCACAAAATAATTTCCAAACTTTATATTATCAATGAGTTTGTTTTTAAAGTAGATTCACTTAATTAATTTTCAGCTGACTTGCTCAGAACGGTCATGCCATATAATCCTATCACGAAAGGAACACACTCAGAATTGAATGGTGAACAGTATGATTTCTTATCACCCAATGAGAAATGATAATATTTAAAGATACTCAGAAGTGCTAATGGATTTACCCAATAATTGTGTTAGCATTTTCTGCTTAAAAATCCATAAATTCTAGCTTGACAATAGTAGCAAAGGGGTAACCTTGTTATAAGGGAGAACCTCAAGCTATTCCCTTATTTTGTTGAACCCAGGTAGGAATGGGGGTGCATATGCATGTTTATTTTGTCTAGAATCTTATAGCCACAAATATAGTTTTGAATGGTACGTACACAGTTGGATGGGACTTCTCTAAATGTTTAATTATTACATGCAAATCCTTTTTTATAAGATTTTGGGGTACTTGATGTTTAATAGATTCATACATGATTTTGAATTGCTTTTCTTTCTAATTAAGGTTCTTGGTAATATTTTATCATAGCACAATGTGGAGTTTTTATTATTATGGAAGAAAGAAGGTATGAACTTATTTTCCTTAGAAAACATCAGGTTTGCTCTGATAAACAATCTGTGTCCTAAAGCACATTTTACTATGAATAAACTCAGGAAATTATTAGCAAGAAAATAAGAATGTACAACTGGTGATAACATTGTGGAAAAACAAGTAACAGTGGTTTTGCTTCCTCATGAAGAGCAAATTTTAACCTCTTTTGTTAGACTCAGAAATGCCTAACCATTTATTTATTAACATTGGTACTTAATTATAATAAACCATTTTAATAGCACCTCAATGTAGCTCAAAGGGATTTCATGTTCAGGCAACCCACAAACTTAAAAACAGACTATTTGTATTCATAATGTGTCTTCCTAATGAAACATTTGTTGTTGTTGTGTGCCATCGAGTCGGTTCCGACCCATAGCGACCCTGTATAGGGTTTCCGAGGGTGTAAATCTTTACGGGAGTAGAAAGCCTCATCTTTCTCCCGCGGAGCGGCTGGTAGTTTCGAACCGCTGACCTTAAGGTTCGCAGCCCGATTCGTAACCACTACAATACTGAAATAATATTGCCCACAGAAACTTATTTATGCTAATTAAGTATAAAGGGGCTTCAAAAAGTTCATAGAAAAATTCCATTATCTTTTAATTCCATTGGTCTAGGAAGTTTTTTAAGATCCTGCATTATATTCCCTGAGAGTAGAGGGCATTCATAAATGAAGAAAAAGAACTGCTTGCCTCAGCCATTGGTGGTCAAGAAAACTATAGCCACCAGTCAGTTTATCTTTGGGAATCTCTACATTGTCTTTCTTCTGGCTTTCCAGTCCCCTCATGCTGACCTATGTAAGCACTTCACATTGGCACTCCATTCAGTCTCAGGCTTACTCTATCCCCAGAAAGAGTCTATGCTCCAGAAGGACCAACACTATCTGCCCCTTCCCAGAGACAGAACTTCCATTCTCATAGCAGCTGTTTTCAGCTAAAAGGGTAAAAGGAAAGATTTACATTTTTGCCAGTGGCTAATTGAAGTCCTGGTGTAGTGCTGTAGGTAAATGCGCCAGATTGCAAAGCCAATTGAACTGTAAGGTCGGCAATTCAAGCTCCATTTGCTCCTTGGAAACCCTATACAGTGTTGCTATGGTTGGAATTGACTCGACAGCACTTAACAACAACAACAATAGGTAATTTTCTTCCCCTCCCCCCAATGAACATGCTTATCAATTTAAATGAGTTTCTAGTTGCTTGAGTTTCAGGCAATGTAACCAAATTAAGAATAATTTTAAATTCAATTATCAGGGCAGATATTTTAGGGCAAAAAAAACTTAGAAAATATGCCCCAGGATAAAGTTGTCCAATAAAATTTATTTTTTGTACAATTCTGTCCTCTTCTCAATCTACATTTCTTCTTAAATTTCTAAGCTTTCATCATACTGAACTTCTGCGACAAAATGGTAGTATATTCTTTTAAAGCCCATATTTATCTCTTATTCCTCATAATATACACCCTGTAACAAGGAGTTTTATCTTGAGCCCTGATTTCTGTTGTATACATAGATAAACAAGACCACGAGAATATTGAATGCACACTGTCAGTAGTCTGTCTCCATATCTTTTTTCTAGATTTCAGGATAGAGACTCCATTTATCACAATTTTGTTTTGTTTTTGCAAGAATGCAAGCAATATTAAGTATAGCTTGGCCTACTGCAATTAAACTGTTTTAGGATCATTTAGAACATATCAAAGCTTATTCAGGAATTTTTGGTATGTGTTTCAAGATCAGTGATTGCTAAAATTGACTATACTAGTAGCTATCTGCCTTCCTGTGCACACTTTTCCCCTACAAATAGTATACTTTTATAGATGCACTAATGGATGAAAACCATCTAAATTAAATAAAATTAGAATGCATGATGATCACCTAAACTTTTAATTTGGTTACTATGCATCGGGGAATAATATATAAAGGTTGTTAAGTGCTGTCAAGTAGATTCCGACTCATAGTGACCTTGCATAGAGTTTTTGAGGCTCTAAATCTTTAGTGGATTAGAAAGCCTCATCTTTGTTTCATGGAGCAACTGGTGAGATCAAACTGTTGACCTTGTGGTTCACAGTCCAAATCCACCGCACACCTGCATAAATGTATGATGATGGTGGTGTGCCGTAGTCGATTCTCAAACCCTGCATAGGGTTTCCAAGGCTATAAATCTTTATGGGAACAGAAAGCCTCATCTTTCTACTGTGGAACTGCTGGTAGTTTCGAACTGCTGACCGTGAGGTTAGCAGCCCTACTCATAACCACTACACTACCAGAACTCCTTGCATAAGGTATAATAACTTAAATTAGAGACAAGTTTCTTTGAAATATAGAAAAATACAAAGGCATAAAAACAAGCTGTTAGAATACAGAAATTCAATTTTGCTAATGTTGTATTTAGTTACCTCTGTTACTGACCAGCAGAAAACTTAAATGCTTAGAAATAAATATTCACATTAAAAACCTTGAAAAATATAGCTTCTTTAGATGTCTGT